GTAAGTTTTTCTATAATGAATAGGAATATAATAAGATCTTAAAGTAAAATAAATTCTTGGAGAGATTTTTCTTACTAGTCAAGACCTACCTTGAAGAGTGTTTTCAATAAAATTCTTGACTCTAGTAAAACTGTTTAAAATAAGTTTGAAAGATACAAGAGGATTAAATTATGATAAAAATTAAGAAGAAGAGAAATGTATTGATAAAACAATAGTAACATAACCAAGGTAAAGAGAACAACTACAACAACAAAATTGAGAATATAATTGTTAGAAAAAAGATATAAAGTGATAACTGGAGCTGTTTCGAATTTTTAAAAAGACACATAAATTATGCAAACGTTTTATTATCTCCCTAAATAATTCTGAACTGATATTATTATATCATTTATTGTCTATCTGGTATGGAGAGTATATGCACTCTTTTAAAGAGCGTGAACAAACAAAAAAGCGAATATAATTTTATTTTTGCAAGTATTTTGCTATAAAATAAATTTTCTTTTTTTTTCTTTTTCTTTCTTCCTTCTTCTTCAAAAAATCATTTTCATCTTAATTGAAGCTCCTCAATTTAAATGTCACTTTTTATCACGACGTCATCTCCCCTTTTCATTACTATTAGTTTGACTATCTCTTTAATTTAAAATTATATCTAAACATTATATTACATTCGAACAATTTAATAAGCACATTAGATTTCAAGATGATTAGTAGGTATTTTTTTATAATCCAAATTTCAATTAAACTTTTTCAAATTTCGGACAATTATGATTCTTTCAAAATTATCATTTCTAGGGAGTATCATATAGTGTTTGTTTTATCCAATTTCAATTAAATTCTTTCAATTTTCGAAAATTAATTTATTCTTTTAAAATTATGATTCTAATTTTGAATTTATATGAAAATGGATAGTTGATGATACTTCAAAATTTTAGATTATTTAGAAAAATAGTTAATTTTGTTATTAATAATTTAGTAAAGTATATATAATATTATGAATAGAAATTGATTGGAGAAGAAGAAAAAAGAAAAAAAGAAAAAAATGAGAGTGAGATTCAATTTGACATCAGGGGTGGGGAGGTGAAGAAAAAAAATAAAAAAAAGGTGGAAGATAAAATGAAATTTAAAATAAATCAGAATTAACATTCAAAAAGTAAAAGAAAGAGAGAAACATAAAAAAAATATAAGAAAAAACTTAAAATGAAAAAAAAATTATATTTTTAATTAAATTAACATTTGTTATGTATTGATTAGTGTATGAATACATTTGCTTCTTAAAATTTGGGACTGATCGAAAAATGGTATAATATTACCGGTTATAATTGTTTAATGGGATAACAGAACTTACAAAAGTAAAATAATTATTTAAAAATTCCAGACAACTTCAGTTTTATTTTATATCTTTTCTCTTATTATTATAAGCTAACTTTTATGTGAGAAGGTTAATTGTCATCTTTACATGAATCAAATTAACAATTATTATTTTAATTATTTAATAAATAATCTGATCGTATAAATATTCATCAATTCCGCTACACATACAATTATATCTTTTCAAACAATGAGATGCATCTACTGTTCTTTAATTCCGATTGCTGGCCTTCCGTTAATGAAGGATCTATAATTGATAAAATAAAATAATTAAAAGTGAAGACACTTCCGTACAAATTTCTTTTTAAATTTTTCTTTGATTTGATGTATCAACAAATATTCGTTTACTGTATTCTCTTTTATTTATTTTTAAAATATACATTTAAAACTTTACAAAAATAGTAATTTTACTGTATTCTCCTTTGTTTGGAGAATTTTTTAAAAAAATATATTTATTCTTTTACTGTATTCTCTTTTATTTATTTTTAAAATATACATTTAAAACTTTACAAAAATAGTAATTTTACTGTATTTTCCTTTGTTTGGAGAATTTTTAAAAAAAATATATTTAACTTTACAAAAAATTAGGAACAAGATGCTTCAATGAAATTACTATTTATTCGGTTGTATTCCAAAATGGGAGAAGCCTTTCAAATCATTAAAGTCGGATAATCAATGGAAAAAGTATATCTTTTATATTATATTATATAAAACAATCAACTTTATTAATATAAAATACATATATCTATATTGTTTA